CAAAACATGCTGCGGTATGAAAGAAAAGTTGTTCTCGGTTCTGAATTTCCCTCTGGAGTAGAAGGGGGAGTAGAGAGTAACGATTACATATTTTACCCTGCCGGTACTCTGCTGGTAAATCTCATTATCGTTTGTAAACTAGATTTGAACACTGTCTGCCCTAACAAAGGGTTACAGATCTAGAATCATTGTATGTGGAGGGGGAAAGGGTCAGTCTGTCCCTAGTCTTTCTGTAGACAGTCAGAGATTACTGTTTCTGAAATTGAGAAAGAAGCTTGCGAAGGCCTGCTAAACAGATGCATCTAAAAGTTAAGAAATATTCCTCGAAATTATTTTTAGATATGCTGCGTGAATAGTAACAACAACAAACCTATGGTGGAGGTTTTGACTGCAAAAGTGGAAATGCAATTTAAAGAAGAAAACCTGCTGCACTGCAACGGTTAAGTACCCACCAGATCCTGCGGCGGTGACTGCTCACATCTCTCCCCCTCTGCTCTGGCGGTGGTTTGTCCCTCGGCGTTGTCAGGGTCAGGGCAAGTCAGTGGACATGTACTAAACATGGGTATGTCAGCAGGGCTTATACTCTGGGAGCCTGGGAAAGAAGAGGCTACGGGGGACTGGTCTAGCAGCCAGGTGGGATTGAGGATCGGGTGAGTATTTTTTCTTTATTTTAGACCCTAGACCAAAATGAGCACTTAACCCTTGTGTTGCAAGGGAAGCCCTACTGCCAGGGTTACTTTGTAATTTGCCCAGAGTTCTTATTTAAATTCCTGCAGCACCTAGGAAACAGAATCACAGGGACAGAATAATATGTATAGGGCCTTTTTGCTGTTTTGACTCTCTAGTGACAGTGTCACTTTAAATTCTCCCCCCCAATGCTGCTTTAAGGACTTGACTTAAATGATGCCTCTTGATCCGATCGTCATCTTCCTTCCACTTGTATTCAGGAGTCCCTCCAGCGCTGGAGCCGGTCTCTGATCCAGCGCTGACTCCTCAGGTCCCTTAGTGTCTTTCCAACGTGCACGCTCCCGGCTGCGTGCATTCACCTCCACTGGGTTTCTCCTTTTCTCCCCGCCAAAGATCTATACTGCGCATGCGTCCGCCCCATCATCCTGCTCGGCCTCTCGAGAAGCTCCAGAGCTTCAGACGGGAGCGAGTGGTGGTGACGCAGGTAAGTAATTACCTATTTGGTAACTTTATATGCAAAAACATTACAATTTTTTTTTTTTATTTACTGCTTGCTGACAGTAGATATGTGAAAAAACGTTCATGTTTAATTACTTTAGAACCATCTAGAAATGGATTCCTTTATTCCACTTTATGGTTCCGTGTGGTATTTGGTTGAGTAGCACAGCAGATAGGGACAGGTACATTAAAAAGCTAAATCATTTACGTGATTCTAGTTTGTTTTTTCACATTTCTTTTTAAATGTTCTGGAATTATCGAACAAAGTTGTAATACATGTTACTATGCTGCATACATGCGCACACAAACAACTTTTTTTTGAACGCACTGCTTAAATAATGCCAATATTATTTTTGATTTTTTTTTGTTCCATTGTGCTTAAAATTCACTGCATGTAGTTTTCAATTGGTGATAATGAAGCAAACGGTGTCCAATGGTAGGTGTCATCCTGAAGATCTCTCAATCAGTTTATTGACTTCGTTCCAACACACTAGTGTGTCTGCTTGTCTCATTCCTTCAGTTAAGAAAACCTAAAGTAATCCTGTGTTTTAGAAACACACGAATTTATATGGGTATGGGCTCAGCCACTTTTAAAACAGTTGTGTCTCTGACACAAGATTTCATGGAGCATTATGGGTTTTCTAAAGAGAAGCACAGCAGAAGATGTCTTCCTTCAGAGTCTTTCTCACTTTTTTTTTTTCCTCAACAGAGAAGATAGGAATAGACAGGTAAACATATGAAAAGGAACATACCATTTGCTAGTTGAAGATTAAAATATTGAATATTCACATCCAATATTTCCGATCGTTTGTTAAAAACCACGCTGCATTCACTTTAACCATTTCTCTGCCACCAACTTAAGGCATAGACTAGAACATAGGCGTGGACTAGAACTTCTTGCTGCTTGCCAGATCAGTAGGCATTATGTCGCCTGCATTCCTTTCTGCACCGTGGTGCTGTTCCGTACACGATCACATTGATGGCGGGAGGCGTGTCTGCAGTGCCATTGGAATGAATTGTACTACCACGCCCCCTCCTGCCACAGAACACGGGGAGGCTTTGATTATGCAATCCAGTGCATTTATGCCACGGGACTGTGCGGTGAACAGGCCACTAGCCGTCCTTTGTTCCAGTGATGTCCTCTTTTCCTCTTTGGCCATAGTTCCGTCATGAAGTCCTCCTATTCAACATGGGCTGTTGGCTTTTATTCAGAAAAGTTGGTAGCCAACACTTGTGGGTGTTGCCCTTATTCTACGGCATCAGATTTCTATTGCAGGTATATCTCTTTTTTTCAACTCTAGATTGCAGCAGAGCATCAAAAATGCAATCTAAAGTCAGTTAAATGCCAAAGGCCTGACCACTGTTGACCGGCTTGTTGCCCCAAAACAAAATCCCATTGTGAGAAAGCTGTCTACGAAAAGATAAGAAAACACCCGAATATCCCATTGTGAGAAAGCTCTACACTGTTTGCCCTCATTCACATGACTAACAGCCGGCCCGTACAGATCTGTGCTGCATGCATGGCCGCATTGGATCCATCTAGGGCTGCAACAACTAATCGACATAATCGATTATAATCGATTATTGAAAAAGTTGTCAACTTTTTCAATAATCGATTAATCGGCTTCCGATCAGCTGGCCCTGTTCACGGCTCCACACACGCTGCGCGCCGCACCTCCTCCCCAACTCACGCTCACCGCTGCCAGACCCGCCCGCCCGCATCCACGCTCTACACGCCGCACCTCCTTCCCGCCTCACACTCACCACCCGCCCACATCCACGATCGGCAAATCCTTTCTGCGTACGAGTACGGATACCCGCACGGACGTGCAGTTCGGGTGAGCATACGACAGCGTACTCCCATAGAGAAAAACACTCTGCTGTGTACAAATCACACACAGCACCTGTCCTTCCTCGGAACGGCCCGATACTGCCGTGCACGGAGAACGGATCTGTACGGGCTGGCTGTTAGTCATGTGAATGAGGGCTAAATCTTAACAATGGCATTTGTTTGAGCAAGGCCAAGCCTTTTTTTTTTAGAAACCTGATGTTTGCAACAATCATATAAACAGTGATGATATATGCATAGTGTGTGTATATATACCGTATTTATATACCGCCGGCGTATAAGGCGACTGGGCGTATAAGACGAACCCCTACTTTTTCAGTTAAAACATAGGTTTTGGGCTATACTTGTCGTATAAGACGAATATAGCCCAAAATAATGTTTAAATACACATTTGTCAGCCCGTTGGATGTGTGGTAATACTGTATGTACGGTAGCTTCGGCTACATACAGTATACCGCGCTGAGCCAATCATGGCAAGCGATGTATTCTATTAATGAATACAAAGCCTGCTGGGATTGGCAGAGATTGTGTACATAGCTCGCCATGATTGGCTCAGCGCGGTATACTGTATGTACATACAGTATTACCGCACATCCAGCGGGCTGACAGATTAGATTGTATACCCGGCGTATAAGACGACCCCCGATTGTCGGGGGATGTTTTTAAGTATAAAAAGTCGTGTTATACACCGGCACATTTAGCCCGGTTGCGGGCAAGCAGCACGGCTAAATGTAGTGTGGGAGCCGTTTTGTACAAGTGATATTAAACGGCTGTACAGCCGTCCAAAAATCACTCGTAACCTGCCTGAATCACGCTCACCCTCTCCTCCCCTCTCTCTATCTCCAGCGGCCGGCCGGTCATGTACTGCTCACGGCTACCTGTCTCTCTGCACGTGGGCTTCCTTTTTGCCGCAGTCTTCGGGATCCCCCCCTCTTGTGGGAGATTCTTGACCACGGCAAATTAGGTTCCAGAGCACAGAGCAAGGCAGAGAACGGTTCTCTACTCTGCTCCATGTGTGTATTGACACAGGAATGCAGCCTTCCTGTCACACTAGAAATAGCACAGTGCTGTGCTAGAACTCCTGTGTTGGAGGTGACAGGGTCAATAAAGAGAACCTGTCACCTCCAGAAGCTATCACACAAGGGCTTGTTACCCTTGTGTGATAGCAATAAAGTCAAGTGAAAAAAAGTAAAAAATAAAACATATAACACTTAAAAATGTAAACATAAAATTGGAAAGCATAATACAAATGTAAATACATAAAAATAGAAAAAAAGGCGATAAAGTAAAAAATAAAAATAAATAATGATAAAAAAAATGTTACAAAGCAAAAAAAAAAAGTAAAATAAAATCTAAAAAATTAAAACCAATCCCTATCATCTGCATGCGAATAAAAGCATGCATGGGGCATTGTGTGTGTGTGAGCGGAGTGGGCGATCCGTTACCACACGGCAATCGACCTACAGCCGAGTTAATAGAGTACTTCAATGCATTTTTAGGATTTAACTCCTGAATTTAGTGTCAATTTGTCTATTAAAAAACCTAATTTCTCAGTTTTATAAATGAAGGAGCTTCTTCAAGGATTCAAGAAGGGATGTCTTCTTTCCATATTTGCTTGCTTTGAACCTTGGTGACAGCATATCTGCACACAGCTTTCTATTATATGGTATTCTTCCATATAATCCTGTAAGTGCTTCTTGAGCACCATAAAGGAAGATATATTTTGGCTGGAAGTGGGTTTGGTACAGGTACTCTGATAGTCGCTTGTGTTCTGTACTTAAATGCTACTGATAAATTAACACATAAGTTAGAAAAATGAAAACCAAACATTCTTATATAAGGATAGTCGCATGTCACATGTAGCAATAAACCCATACATGTTGTGTTCATGAAAAAGCAAACGTATAGACATTGACAGTAGGGATATTGCGTTACTAAATTGTATATCTGTTTTTTGTTTTTGCAGGTGAAATTACCCCCCATGATAGAAATGATTACCGCAGAGCAGCTTATGGAGTATCTTGGTAGGTGGAAGTTATTTTAGAAACATTGCAGATTATTCACTTTAGCTGCTTTGATTTTGATAAATGCCATAGACTTGGTGTGTAGTTTATATAGAGCATATATGTGTCTAAACAGACTATATTTTCAATAGTCATAAAATGTAGTATATTTGCGATTGCATCATTTATTTACAAACCTCATATATCAAGCATTTGGCTGTACAAACTATATGTACAACAATTGGATACCATATATTTGCCAATACCCCCTATGAGGTGTGTTTATAAAGGATTTGCTGTGCGGTTGGCATAATACTAAACTGATGAGCAGTAAAAGCGTTTTAATCGTAGCCTATGGGCGTTTTTTGCGATTTTGCGGAAAATTACTTGTGCTATGATGCGATACTTTGAATTTTGACTATACACCCTAATTTTAATTCTTACATATACTGTACAGCATTTATCATATAATATGTTTGTACCTGCAGATGATATTTATAATCAAATACCATATATATTGCCCATAATGCTGCGATGTGCAATGAACCTATACACTATTATCTACATAACAAACATTTCTAAATGTATTATACTTCAACATGTAGCACATATTATGCACTACGCAGCATATTTTGCCAGCACAAATGTTGCACTTATCTTGCCATAAATCAGCACTTTTAGCCTACTGAATACAATTTGCAGGCTTCATTTGTTTGCAGGATCCATTACTATGTAGCATCCTATATCAATTCAAATTTGCAACATAAAGTAGTTTGCCATTTTCCATAAATCTAGCAAGCACTATAAATGCTCAGATGTATCTTGAAAATGGACATGTGTTTCTTTGAGTATAATACAACATTCATTTTGTCCTTTTACATATGCAATAAGCTTTCTGCTAGGGATGCACAGATACCAGTGCTGATACTTGGCACTTTCACGAGAACTACCACGGTCACAGCAATTGCAGCTGTAACTGGGCCCTGCTACTCCACCACTGTCCTGAAATCATTAGTATGTAGTGTTTTACAAAAACTGTCACATGACACTAAACAAAAAGGTATCAGTAATTGGTATCTGTGAGTACTTGGACAGGTATTGATAATTGTACTTGCTCTGGAAAAAATTGTATCGGTGCATCCCTAATAAATAAATATATGTACGCCATATTGCCAAAAGTATTGGGACGCCCCTCCAAATCATTGGATTCAGGTGTTCCAATCACCTCCATGGCCACAGGTGTATAAAATCAAGCACCTAGGCATGCAGACGCTTCTACAAACATTTGTGAAAGAATGGGTCGCTCTCAGGAGCTCAGTGAATTCAAGCGTGGTACCGTGATAGGTTGTCACCTGTGCAATAAGTCCATCCGTTCATTTTCTTTGCTACTAAATATTCTGCGGTCAACTGTTAGTAGTATTATAACAAAGTGGAAGCAACTGGGAATAACAGCAACTCAGCCACGAAGTGGTAGGCCACGTAGAATGACAGAGCGGGGTCAGCACATGCTGAAGCGCAAAGAAGTCGCCAACAATCTGCAGTCAATAGCTACAGACCTTGCTTGCTCTCCATCACCTCAGTTAGCACTATTAGGGATTGGTATAGAGCTTTGGGCCCCCAACCAACGTACCTTTGTTTCTCACACGCCGATAGCCTGCCGATTAGCCTGGAAGCGAGTAGAAACCCCTAGTTTATATGTTGTTCTGGAAATACTGAATACCCATGCTTTGAAATGCTCCATGCAAAAGCCCATTTCAAATGGGATAAATTTAATGCCAACTGGTTATGCTGGATGAAAGACCGTAGATGTACTATACATACCACATGATATCCAACCAGGTCCTACTGCCTGTTGTTTATAGCTAGCCTCACCGATTTCGGCCCCCAGCTAAGCCTTTTCCTAAGATGTAGACTGAAAATATTTTTTAGACCGAGACTTGTACCAGCAAGTGTAGGTCAAACAATGTACCATATACTCACTTGTTTTACTTTAAAGTCTAATTTACATTCAGGTAATATGGCACATTACATAGACCCTTTCCATAGTCTTGTCCTTCCCTCCCCCTATATATTTAGCTCCCTATCATTATCCGCTACCAGATAATTAAAATATCTAAGCGCAGTTCATACCTCAGGCAGTGTTGAGGGATATGCATGGTACTCTATGCCTTCCCCTCTCTCCTACTCTCTTTTTTTATTTATTTTTTGTTATTTTATGTCGCATTCCCTACTTATGCAGAGGTTTAGATCTGTTTCTTTCTTTCCGCTGACTAGCTTATTGAGATGACTGTTTGTACATGCATAAGTCCTCTGACACTACCAATCTTACTGTTATGTTGACATGTGTATTCAACCTACTGTTTTGGACTCTGTATGCTCCTGCTCTTATACGTCATTAAAAAAAAGTTCATGTGCGTGTAAAGGCAGACATCCCAATACTTTTGGCGTGTGTGTGTGTGTGTATCACAAATCGTACATTAAAACAGAGATGTACAAATCCCAGGAGCCCTGTATGCTCCTTAAAAATGAGAGCTGTCTCCTAACTTTTGAGTTTTTCTCTAGTCCAATCTTGGAGCTGGTAAAGTATCTGTATTTGTACATTTTCTTGCACCAAATACAGTGCTTGATATCTGTGCATCCCTACTTTCTACTATACACTCACACTGTGCTGTTTGCATAGACAAAGTGCTTCTTGACAATCCAGAGATGGTCAGTTATTTCTGTCTTCGGACAATGTTTCCTCCAGGACTCTTAGGCAAACCACTCCTGCTTTGAAGTGGCTGACGGGCAATCTGGAGGCTGGGACATGACAAAGCAGATGGTGGATGTGTCTGTGCACTGGGCATTGTCTCTTCTACTTGGAGTTTGTTTTAGGGTTATGCTAATGAGCATGACAATATGGCGCCATGATAGTCCACATGAGGCCATGGAAAGTGTGCACACAGACTCTTTAACAGTTATTTTAGCAGCCAGCAAAGTGAAGATTTTGGGAAGTAGCAGCAATGCAGGTGGAAGTCAGCTCCCACTGAATTTCTGTGCCAAATTTGACCTCTGTGCTGTAGAGGTCAAATTTTGGTTTATTTTTTTAACTTTTTTTTGCATTTGTAGATTTTGATGCTGATATATTATATATTTTTATGTTTAATTTAAATATGTATTTTATAAACATTTAATACTGGCTGTCCTGTCACACTGGTATCACTGAGCGTTATGGATTTTTTTTGCATTTATTTTTTAGAGCGAGACCACCAGTGTCGGCTCTAATTCCTTTTTAGATTGTAAGCTCTCACGGGTAGGGCCCTCCTTACAATCTTGTCTTTAATTGTATTGTAACTGCAATTTGTTCCTTATGTTATTATTATTATAATACAGGATTTATATAGCGACAAAAGTTTGCGCAGCGCTTTACAATATAGGGAAGACATTACAATCAGAATACAAATCAAGACAAGATGGTAAGGAGGGCACGTAATTCAGGAATGAAATCTTGCATTCAAGTATCCTAACTATTAACAAAAATTTAGTGAATTTGTGAATTATTCAGCTGTAGATCCTCAAATCATCTCTGAATTGGTGCTGCCACTAATTTGTATTGAGATTGTAGTTTATCACAGGAGCAAGCTTTACAACACACACACAAATTAGTAAACTAAATGTGAGATTGTAGTCCATCACGGGAGCGAGCTTGGAGTGGTGGCTACTTAAAGCACACACAGGGACCATGGGGAACAAAAGTAGCCACCCTCCAGAAGGAAGGCCATTGTGAGCACATATTCAGAGATGATTTGAGGATCTACAGCCGAGGGATACACAAATAAGATACATTTTTGTTTATAGTTAAAGTATTAGAATGCATTTTTAAGATTTCACTGCTGAGTTTTGTGTCACCTTTAATAGATACTATTTTGGTTTTATTTTGTAATCACTACATATATTATTAGTTATTGATAGTCTAATAGAAACTATGTGTGTAATTACTACATATAGTATACTATGTAGCGAAATTGGAAAATCTAACAGTGAATCTAGCCATTGCTGACAGTAAATGTTATTTTTTACATAATCTTTACTTAGCTATGCGGTTGCCTTTGTTTGCTCAGAGCAGTAATTTCATTTCTATATGTAGGCTGCTGATTACTGACATGAACAAAAACCTCTCATTTAGGAAGCATTCTTATGTAGCTTGGTGTGACCGAACACCTATTGCCTCAAAATGTGCTGGCAGCTCATAATTTTTTTTTAAATTTTTTTTTTAATTTTTTTTTGACTGTTGTGTGGCACATTCACCTTTTATAAGTGTTTTTTTCATTTTCAACAACTAGTGCATTGTTAAAGACGAACTCCAAGAAAAAAAATGTAACCCTTGCTCTGGGGCTACCCCTGCACTGCAAGGGTTAGCGGCTCGTTTTTGTGTAGGTTCAAAAAGTTATACCCACCTGATGCTCCGAGCCAGCTTGTTCTCAGACCAGTCACTAGAGCCTCTCTCCCTCCATTGCAGCGGTCTAAGGTCCAGTAAATCATCACGTCTATACACCGTGTATAGACATGAGAACGCTCAGGAGAATTCTAGTGAGCGCTGTGACAGCTGGCCGGCTTGGAGCTTCAGGTGGGTATAACTTTATTATTTTAGCCCTAGCCCCACTGCAAGGGTTAATAAAAAAGGTTATCCTGGAGTTCTTCTTTAACATCTTTGTTTTAGCATCAAGAAACAAAAATTATTAAAAGATCATTAATGTATCTTGATATCTAGTTATCTTGATGTGTACAGCATATCAAGATTGAATTTTATTAACCTTTTTTCTTTTAGATATTTCATTTAGATGTCACACACGTGCAGATCGTGCATGTTCTGTGTGTGCTCTGGGCATGCATTCCAGAGTCTGTGTATTTCAATGAAGGCACAGCATGATGCCAATAAGGGAGGGAAGAAGCAATACAAGAGAAGGATATTACATTGCAATGGAGAGCAAGAAAGGGGATAGTGCAAAGCCCACACAGAAGGAGAATGTAACATTTCAAAGAGCACACAGTGGGTGGGGAAGTGACACACTATGGAAGAGAGCAGAGAGGTAGGTGCTGCATAAGCCATGAGGGTGTAAAAGCTGAAAGGTCTGCAGCACTGCTGACAAGTAACAGAAACTGCTCTTTCCTTTTTTATATTATACAGGACTACATAAGCAACATAACTAATAGAACTTAGGGCATATGTTAACATTCTTTTGTTGCTTCAAACAGGTTTTGCATTCCCATACAAGTCTGTGGGAGGGCAAAACTTGCTTGAAGCATGTTAAATGCACCTGTTAACAAATTCTGAATGACCTCCAAAACGTCTTAAACCAATGTTAAACTGATGCATTCGACATAAACCTAGAGGCCTTCGACACAGGCCCTTAAATGAACTACACATTCCTAAATAACCTGTTAATCCTAAGGATACAGTCTGTTGTTTCTTAACATTTTTTTGTGATTTAGTGAAGGAGTTTTGTGTGTATGCACATTCTGGTCTTGGATTTTAAATGTTATAATTTTCACACACCAGCTGGTTTATACCAGGCAGCATTTATCTCTGTACAACATGCAGATGTGTGCTGCCTCCAAAAAGAGGCGAAGTAAGCTTTTCGCGTGAAATAGGGACTGGAAAGATGGAGAGCAGAGCAACCTGTGGTGATGGTAACCTAGTCGACCCAGTGGCTTGTCAGTAAACCACAAAGACCTGGTTCTAAAAGGGAAGTATTCGCAGATCAGTCCACCACACATGATGTATAGAGCCTATATGAGAAACCCCGCTCCAGCACTATCACGTACCTAACTGGAGACTCATCTGAGAAGGGGGCTGCCCGTGCACCTCTTGTCCCACGCCTCTGGAAGTAGTGACAGGGGATGTAAGGACAGAGCAGAGCACAGGTGCCGATACTGGTGGCTGGCTGGTTCTTGAGAAGGCGCTTGAGTGCTTTGGATCAGCTGGTGAATCGGCAGTACCGAGATGACACCGGGACCTCTTGAAACCAGAGCAGGCAACGGGTATGAGGCCTACGGAGCACTGGTAGGATGTCATTGCTCAGGATGCTGATGGAGCGATCCACCAAGTGGCAGACCAGGAGGGAAGTCAGGTTCAAGCCGAGGTCGTACACAGGGAGCCGAATCTTGAGGTGGCTTATCACAGATCAGGAGCAGGGTCAGGAAACTTAAGCCAGGGTCATACACAGGAGATCAGAGAGCAGAGGTACCGAATCAGGAGGGGGAGGCAAAGTCAATTGGTCAAAAGCCAGGTTCATGCACAGGACGTCAGGATACAAGAACAAACTACGGGGCACACGGGGACAAGCTGAAGACCACTCACCAACTTGGTCATGGCTTCATGTCTGTTTAAATATGATAGTGTGCATGCTAATGAGCGCGTTTCCGCGCGCTCACGTACATGCGCTATTGCTCATAAATGTTCCTGTACGCACGCGTTCACGTGCTAAATAAGCACACTGGAGACCTATGTGAAAACATCTTATGTAGGTACCTGTGACAACGATACCAAGGGTTAAAAGTTTGTACCCTTTTTTCCTGTGCTAAACTAGCAATGGATATCTTATGTGTGAGTAAGAAGGTGGTCTGTAATGCAACGCCAGTCAGCTAATGCGCAAGGTCATGTTCCCAAGCTGTTATGAAATGAGGTCGGAAAAAGGACTGCACAGGCAGGAGCAAGTGGTAGAGCAAGGATATTACGTGTAGGTGGGGAAGAGCATAGGCAAATGGCTTCAAAGCGAGTGTGTTGCATGTGGAGTCAAGTTTGGATAAAAATCCCTCAGCTGGAAGTGTTGAAACCAATGTCCATATGCTCGTACCTTTTAGTAGTATGTCAGACGGGCTTAAGGGCATAGGGGGTGAGGGCAATGGTGATCGGAGAGGATCATAGTTTAGCCGACCCTAGAATGGTAGCTGACAGCCCACCAGGGGGGAAGGCCAGGTTTTCCATTAAAGTGGTTTTAAGGACTTATTTTAGGGGCCGTGGCAAGTTTTAAAGTTACTGACCTTTAGGTCTTCAGAAAAATCCCGATATATACATATATATCCCTATATATACATGGAGCTTCAAGCCAAGTTGAGATAAAGCCACCCTGGCCCTAAGCTCCACCACTTTAAGTGTGAAATGCCAAACCCCTATTGCCCACTTCAATGGTTGAAGGATCAGAGCTTAAAGTGACATTAAACCCTCAGATTTTTTAACATAAACCAATACTGTAATGTGTGCCTTACTGTAATCCATGGTAGTTTCCCTTCTCTTTGCTGCTCTTCCTTTTAAATCCTCATGTCTTCTCATGCTTGGGGAGAACTTCCCTTTGCAGCTGGTTGCCTCTTCCTGTAGTGCTGGCTCAGGTTTCAAACCAACACATAGACACCATGTATCCCTTTCAGAGACAAGGCAGTCTGCTGCAAAATAGAAGTTCTGTCCAGCATGAGAACAGATACAGATTTAAAAGGAAGAGCAGCAAAGAGAAGGGAAACAACCATGGATTACAGTAAGGCACACATTACAGTATTGTTTTATGTTAAACAATCTGAGGGTTTATTGTCACTTTAATCACCTCTGGACAGGTTAAGACACCAGTGAACATTGGGTGTAAGAGTGCTTCACAGGAATCAATTTGATCACAAACACAGGCAATTACTTTTTTGCCTTTCGCATGAAAGTTAAATCTGGAAGTTTTTCTTGTAGAGAATGTTTAATAAATGTCAGAATCACTGAATTTTAAATATGCCCCTTGTGTATGTAGCTGTCAATGCACCAATGTTTCTGTGGTTGGTTTATGACGAATATGCAGTATCTATCTGTCCCTCCGGTCAGCTAACATGTACTGATCTGTCCCTCCTGATTTACCTCAGTCTCTTATTATGACGAGAATAGTAAGCTCAAGGTTTAGTTGTGTGCTGGGGCTTGCTCATATTTCATTTTCTTTTGTGTTCTGAAATGTGAAAAGGCTGACAAAAGTGTAAAATGTCATTGCTAAATCGATAAATCAAGGTCTGTCATACATTTAATTACTGCCAAAACTATTGATTATGGTTTCACAAACAACTTGAGTGCCTTCATAATGGTTATCCAGACTCTTTCTTCAATAATAATCCAGTGATTATTTTGTGCCTCTTTCCAGAAAACGAAAAGAATGTGCGTGTATATTTTATTATGCCTTTAGAATTTAACAGTTACAATTGGTTGTCACTTTTCTTTCAGGAGATTATATTTTAGAGGCAAAACCTAAAGAGATTTCTGAAGCTCAGCGTCTGAACTATGAGCAGGTAAAGACAAGTGCTTTTCTTTTTTCTTGTACAGTGATGTATTTTTACTCAGCTTTAGGGGTTTATACAATATGCTGGCCACATAATTTACTTGAAGTGAGCCTGTGTGAACTTGAGAAAGCTTCTAAACTGTTGCCTCACATAAAACAAACTGTCATCTAAAAATATATAGGTAGGAGCAGTAGTTTTTTTTCCCTTTTATTTCCGTCTGGTGATTTTGCCAGTTACACACTCTTTGTCCATCGAGTAGTAGTGTTTTCACCCTAGAACAGGAAGTGTGTTAGGACTTTATAACACCCCCTGCTTATCTCCATAGCAAAGAAAATATGTGTTCTGTAGTTTTTAAAAAGAGAGACCTTGGAACAATGCTTATAAATAACAGCCAGCAAAGACAGAGGAAACAGACCAAAGACAGAAAATTACGGTAAGTTGATTGTTGGGGTTTACATACACTTTTAAGGTGCGTGCACATATACTCGCACACCTTTTTACCGCATGCTGCGGTTTGTGCCCCCCCTCTGCTCTCCCCTGCCTGTATCGGCAGGCAACCTCATATAAACCACTTCCTTTGAGCCATACTGGACAGTGAAAGAAGAGGCAGCACACTGATGAACTTATCTCTCTTTCACTCTTCTGCTGTTCCTATCCGCATGCTTCTTGTCATCACATATATTGATTGGTTCCTTGTACTGCTTCTTCCATCTCTATTTCTCACTATAATGTAAAAAATATATATGTATATATTTTGGCTGTAGGTGTGTTATTAATACAAATTGGTGGACATAGCGAATAATTTGCATGTCTTAGTCCCTATTGTAAAAAAATAAACGTTTTTTGGAATAGTAATGGAAATGATACAGTATGTAAATACCTGTGATTTTTATTTATTGGAAAGTCATGCTTAGAGATCTAAGTAGACTGCCATGTCTGACCTCCTCCTAAGGATACTAGTTGTTTGTGTCAGGTATTGACCGTCTGACTTAAAGCATAAGTCGAGCTTGGACAAAAAACTAAAATTATTAGTCTCCTGCGAAAAGAAAAAAAAAATCCCCAGCCTGCAATACTCATCCTATATCCAGCACTTTTCTCTGCAGACTCCACAATGCAGAGTGCATCTTTTGAAGGCGTAATGATGCTGGGCCGCTTCCTGTGATCCCATAGCAGTCCGCTCCTTCACTGTGGGGGAGGCCGAACGCACAGCAAAAATGCTGCACAGATTAGCAAACCGTCATTACGTAGTGCCACTCTCTGCAGCATTACAGATACACCCACTGCCAGAGGGTAAAAAGGGCCAGCGAGGTCATAAGACTGAACCCAAGACACAATGTATACTTTTTTTTTTTTTAAACTAGTTGGGGGTGCTTCGATGAGGAAAGCGATGGCGCAGGAAAGAGACGGAAGAAGCAGGCAGTGGAGGAGAGTATGTTGCTCTGATGCCTGCACTAATCTCTTCCCCTGGCAATCGCCTCCTGATCATGAGGGAGGAGAAGAAGCAATACAGTGAACCTTTATAGCTTGCTGTATCAATACCTGCATAGTGACAGAGTTGGTGCTGTCACTGTGATATATGCTCCTTCAGGGACCTCTGATTATTAGGGGCACTGTGAAAACAATAGGTAAAAACCAGAACTCGGAAGGGGATCCACCCATCCATTTGCAAAAAGGCATAAAAGAAGCAAACAAACAAATGCTCAAATGTTTCAGCCCCCAAACTGGGCCAAAGTCGTAGCAAGAAAACATGAAAATTGCATATCTTAAATACCATAGTTCCTGGACATCTTGTAAGCATTTAATCCACATACAAAAGACACATATAAATAAAATCTACACAACATGCACATGCAAAAAGGAAAATTAATTTTGTAGATATATGAAGAGACATAAGTTCCAGATATTACATAGTAAAAACACTTATGCAAATTGTAAAGTGAATAGGAACTTTCCATATAACATCAAAACATGCATTAACACTGACGACTGAACACCCGGGAGACTTTGAGGAAACTGATGTTCGGTCATAAGTGTTAACCTCTGTTGGTAGTTGAAGCAGGGACCAGTGTGCATTACCGGATTGGACTCATACTGTGACTTCTGATAAGGGATGCTACAGTGGTTTTCCCTTCTTCCCCGTTTATGCCTGAGAGTTCCGATTTGGTTGGTGGTTATCCCCTGGAACAACCTATACATATTCATGACCTTCATTTCATGTTCGCTATCATATGCTAGCAAATTTCCTCACCTTCCTGAAGAAGCAAAAATGTGAAACGCGTTGAAGGTCGGACTACCACAGACAATAACGGGTTACAGTCACTCTGTTGGGATCATGGGACTCTATTGAATCTCTATATGTAGTAGGTCTATGAGGACTGCAATATTGAATATAGCATATTGATGGTCTTGTATGGTTGCAATTAATATGTTGTTTTTATGAGAATTGTAATATGTCTTAATAAAAAATATATCTTTTTAATTATTGTGAAGATCACATTGTGTTTTTTGCCATCTCTGAATGCCCCATTTAACTTCCTACTTTGATATTTTCTATGATGTAGGGGTGAGCTGGCACGAAGTCTTGGGGATCCTATACACTTTGCCTTACCTCTCTTTCATTTTCAAAGCGTAACTGAACAAACTGAAGATAGAAGCTGATTGGTTACTTTGGGCAACTGCTCTAGATTATGTCTGCTCCAGTTTCGATAAATTCCCCCCACAGTGCTCTAGCAAACTAAATGTCATTCAGTTAGGATTAGCGTGTATTTTAATAAGCACAAATTTTCACGTAACGTGTAGCTGCCCATCTATCATTTTGATGTGGCTTTCATTGAAGTTAACATGTGCTTGTTTGTGGGACATTGTGCCTACAGCTAAGAGAACTCAATGGATTTACATAATACATTTATGAACTTTTGCATGTTTATCTTTCCTTATGTTACAGAATATGAGTGATGCCATGGCTATTCTACATAAGTTACAGACTGGCCTTGATGTCAATGTGAAGTTCACTGGAGTGAGTGTGTTTGAGTACACTCCTGAGTGCATTGTGTTTGATCTCCTTGATATACCACTTTACCACGGCTGGCTGGTGGATCCAGAGGTATGAGCTTTTAATAAAATAACTAAATGAAAAAAAATCATTTAATTGATATTGATCTTTTATGGCTTTACATTGAAGCCTTTTCTTTATCGTTCACTGGGAGACACATGAATTTAGGAATTCCTTTACAGTTAGGTTATACTGTTACCTACAGATGATTGGGACACTAAACACAATAAACCCTCAAAGCAAGCTCCTGTATAACCCTTCTTCTACCCAGCAAGTTTTTGCCAGTGTCCAAGATTGAGTGACACTTTTTCTTTCTTGAGCTCTGCTGTAAAAATATTTCCTATATTTTTTCCTAGCCATCTTTATCAAGATTTTTTTTTTTATTTGTTGACTAACTTTATTCTGTATACTGTTTTACATTTTTTCCTCAGTGGCTTAACTCAAGAATTCCGCACTACTGCTTTACATAGCAGCTGTCCAGATCGGTGTATCCTAACCAACATATTTGGAGACTATACCCGGGCCTGCTGGACCGAAGGTTGTGGGGCAAACCTGGAATGTAACCTTTGGGAACTGAACTTCTCATTGTGGTACTTTCCAGACTTGTGTGTGAAAGCTGCAGAGCGCTTTCTGAGTCTTGTTCCACTACCCACATTCAGTGATTTTATCATCTCCCGCTACCTTTTGACCCTCTTTAGCACTAGCAGCTAGGGTTTGTAGATATGTGAGGCTTTGCCTCACTTTGGACCTAAGTGTTCTCTGCTATGTGGTGCAACATGTCTTCTCAAAAATGCACAGAAGACAATCTATCTGCAATGGCCAGCTTCAGCCCATACTCTCTTACTGGTTCTGAGGGCATATACCCAGGAGGAACCAACACCTGTTATTTAGAACCTTGGACCCTTATTATTATATGGTCATCCTCATTAGAGGCGTTTTCAGCTTTATTGGGTGAGGCTGAGGCCTCCCTCATGTCTACAAGGACCACTTTGAACCTTTTCTCTGTGTGCAACTACTAGAGCAGTCTGCTCTAGTAATAGCACAGCCTATCTCTGTCTTTTCCTGTGCCACCCATTCATAGGGTGCCTGAGGCCATCTGTTGGACATCTTATGAGTGCTACAGGACATTCTCCTCTGGGATAGTTTGGGAACTCTACCATGGATGGCACGGAGTATATCCCTATTGGCCACACTTCTTCTCCTACTGTCAATTATTTGCCTTCCGGATCTCTTCAGTTAAGGTGGATAATAGTGTATATCCGGAGGCGGTTGTGGGACCTGATCATGCAGGAGAGCTAGGTCCTTCATCTACAGCTGTTGCACAGCCTGTTAAGCAAATTCCTTCTATTGCCCTTCCTTCTTACTACTTCTAAATAGGAGAATGCTCCTAGTAAGGAGTCTGAGATGCCTACGGCAGAGGCTGAGGCAGGGGTTTAGGACAGGTTGGCTGATTCCTAAAATCAGTGTTGCAAAGCTAGTTAGGCAGATGTGCAGTGTTATCTTTCTATCCTTGGGTACGCTCTAGATGTTGGCTGGAAGAGTCTCTGTTCATCCTTCAGGAAGGATTCTTTATGCACCACTTGAGTAATGAGGTACCCTTTGCCTTTTCTATCTCCTCTTATAATGGTTTCGCTCACCCGGCTATGCCTTTCCCTCAGAAATCCTTTTAGGACTGGTTCACCTGGGGTTCCTTCAGATAGGGAACATCTCTTTTGTCTATCCATTGGCGTGGTATGTTGTGAGAGCTCGTAAAACTTTGCTATCTTGTTAAAAGATTGGTTGCCTGGCTGCACAGCCCTTTACTCATTATGAAAATATTTCCCTGCTTCTAAGGTTACCACTGGGCCCAGTGAATTGTTTCCTTCTGTTGACCTTATGGTTGTTGCTCTGTCTTACTCAGCTTTTGACAGTGTGTTATTTGTTTTTTTTTTCACCTGTTATCTTGGTGGATTTCTGGTTGGCTCTCCAGTCTTGCTTGCATGGGCCCATTGCTCCTTCAGCCATCAGTGTCCTTTGGCAGTGGGTTTTTTTTTATTCTGCTCTGGAACATCAGGTTGATCTTCTTCTGTCCTCCTATTAGTCATGGCCATTCTAGTAGCTTGATTTGGGAGTTGGTTCCTTCAGATACCTTTCACATGGGACAGCCCTACCAATTTTTTTTGGGGGGGGGTCTGTCAGTGGATGTTCAACTGTTTTTGGATGTCCTAACTGTTATAGAATTTCTATATTATGGTGTCCCTCAGTGGATGAGACAGTGGGATAGGATATGAGTGCCAAGTACTTGATATATCATAATACTGTGGTTTCATAAATAAAGATTTTTTTAAAAATAAAAATTATTTTAACCATATTTACAAACATTTTAATGTAATTCTGTTTTCACAACACTCATAATGGGTATTCTAGTGTATTTTATTCTGTTAAAGTTAAAATAGTGTTTATATGGAAAATTGTAATTTCTTTACAGTAATATTCATCCTACATCATATTTTTAAAGGTAATAAAAAGCCCAAAAAACATGCCTTTTTCTGGTAATCTAATGTCGATATCACTTATGTCTGGGCACTTGTAAAGTCACTGCTTATGTCATTTTGTATCGATTGTTGAAGATTTTCAGTCCCATTACCGTTGTCTCTGCATGAACGTCACTGCCCAGGTCCTCTGGCAGAGACCAGGTACCAGATTGATGCTAAAGTACTCTTATTAGAACAACAGGATGCCCTTTTAGGTGTATTCATGACCATCATGCATGCTGAACAAGTATGTATGTAAATGTTATGTTTTAGGTCTGCTTCCAAGTGGCCACTCAACTTGCAGTGCACAGGAATGCAGCTATGAGCATACTGAAATCCAGTTAATGTAAATGGAGTATATATTATGTTATTTGTATAGAGAAGTAAGGTAACTTTGAGGTATGGACAAAACAATTTCTTCCCTTATTTAAAATTATCCTTTTGTTGGATTCCACATAAGAACAATTCCTATGTAAAAACAATTGTGTAAAGTTTCACTTTACCCTCAAATTGCATATAATCCAAGCAAAGGAAGATAATAAGGCATAGTTTAAGTATACCAAATACATATTTAATGATTATTGCACAGATATAACATATCTAACATATAACATGCATACTTTGACAGGTACATAGATTAAATTTTTATCCTTTTTCACAGGTTCGCTGAACTCGTTAAAATAATTTGTTATAGTTTTGATTTACAAATAATATAATCTCAAATTCACTTTTGAAGGGGACAATAAAATCTGCAAGGACATACTAGGCAAGTTGTGCACAAGAGAAAGAAAACAGTGGGAAATACAATTAAAGTATATCATTTGGACAATATTTTAAAGTATGAAGGAGCTACACACTAAAGGAGGATTTCGAAAGGGAAGTTAGTTAATTTAGAAAGCAAGGATAGAATGGTATAGGACGGTGGAGCTTACATTAGAGTTAAATCAAATGGATAGTCCATTTGCCAAAAAAAGGTGGAGGAAGAAAGAAAAGCTAAAGTAACTTTTGGTTTCAGAACATTTTATTAATTTTAATAATTTCAAACAGTAAAGGCATGTAGACATCTGCATAAATTATAGGCAGCGAACAGACAAAAATGAGCAAGTGATAATAAAGATGATGCTCTATGTGATACTATATGCAGATGGTATGTCGAAGCGAATTACCCAAAATGTAACATAGAAGGGAAACGAGCAAATTAAGGGGTCTATTCCTTGAGGGGAAATAGGAGTTAAGGGGGGAGCGGGAAAGAGAAGTAATAGAAAGGAAACAGAAAAAGAGAGAAAAATCCACTCTGCAGGAAACAAAGGGTAGGAAGGTGGACTGGGGGTTGGGCAGGGTAATCTGTCAAAAGAGTGAGGTGTCGCCACAAACGTTAGGACACCAGTCTCCACAGGAGTAAAGGAAAATCGAGAATTCCTCTCTAGGTGCTTCATACACAAAGGAGAGACTTAAATGGGAGGAGCCTGAGGCGCCAGTTAGCATGATCAACTTAAACATTTGTTAGTCCTTAAAAAGGATCCAAGGAGTCCAAGTGCGGTAGTGTTTCGACATCGTGTTCTGTTTGATGTGAATCAGCTCCTCCATTTCCGCTACAAAATTAGCGGAACATTTCCGCCGTCAAAACTAATCCGACAGTTGAGGCAGGGTAGAGGATCGCCAAAGCCGGGGAAAAACTGATTTGGCAGCATTCAGTAGGTGAAAAGTTAAAGAGCTCTGATAAGTTCGAAAGGACCTCTCTGTGTAGAAGGAAATGGGCAAGATTGAACGGGATGGAATCGCCTGTAATTTGCTCAAGGACATCACAAACTTGTGTCCAAAAAGGTGATAGCAGGGGAGAGCTCCGTCAAATGTGGAGAAAAGTGCCAATGTCCTGATGATGCCTCCAGCAGGTGTCAAGAACGGCAGGCGGAAGTTTGTGAAGGAATTCTGGAGTGCAGCTTGTATTTCACTCCTTACACTCCTAAGAGAGATTCCATGCTATGTTACCACTGCTTTTATGCGAGTAATTTTCTTTTAATAAATCATACTCTGTTTGGATGGTATGCGCTATGGTGTTTGCTTTCTATTTTTGGATAACACTATCCTGGTATTGACATCCTATACTGAGGAGGCCTACAGATCGATAAAGATTGGTGGTTATTGTTTTCCTACTAAAGAAGTGATATATAGATCTGTCTGCTGGTCTGATTACACCATTGGCGGACATCTGTGAGTGATTGGCCTTGAGGGCCCCCTTCCCTGGTTAAGAAGGGAATTGCCTGATTTGTTGGGGTCTATCAATAAGGTGAGCACCCCTATATCTGTTGTGGTGCATTTGGTGAAGGAACAAGAAATATTCATCACTGTTGCTATATTATGGACATTTTCAGAGTTATGAAAATTTATAGACATCACACCTGATCGATTTTTTTTATTTACTGACATTTGTTTGAGTCACTGATTTTTGTTTTTTTTGTAGTGCTCATTGTTGTAGCTCGGCACATTTAGTTATTCATACATAACTATGCTGATCCCCAAACAGTTTGCCTTGATAAG